AAATGAGCATGTTACATTTGAACTAGATGGTGTGACAATTATCAGGCCCAAATGATTCAGTGTCTGATCACTTTCATATTTTTAATATAAATATCCTCAGCCTACTCTCCTGAGGCAGGGAAACACATTATTTCCATTTTGAGTGAAAGAAGAGGTGTGTGGGGAGTAAGTGGCTTGCCTAAAATGATGTGGGGAGCATGTGACAGAAAGTTATATTGGCCAACACCAAACCATCTTTCTCAGCTTTTAGAGACAACAGCTATATCCAGCCCCCTTTATTTATTTCTCTAGAAGCCATCATGCCAAAACCTCTGCTAAATTAGAGACTGTGACTGAAGGAAAGCTTTCAGTGGATTGCTTTTCTCCATAAATGGAAATATCACAAATCATCCTGGGAAAACAGGTCTTTCTGTTCTCATCCCTCTTTGTCTGTTTCTCTCCTTTTGGATGTCTTTTCCTCTGCCTCTGGCTCGCAGTTTTCAGATGTATGGTCATGACCATTTAAAAGTGTTCCTACCTCGCAGGAAGGGAGTAGCTTTTCATTCTTTGGAACTTACTATTTTGCAATGGATTGCACTCTGCAGGCAAGCAAGACTTCTGAAAGAGAGAGGGCTGCACAAAGCGGCACAAAAATAAACTGTATCACCAACAATACCGAGCTGGGCTCTCATCGGGAGTAGCTCAGTCTGAGTATTGCTGCAGCAGGGCTGGTGGCTGCCAGCTGTCCTGGATAGACAATGATAAACAATGATCCTGCCACACTGGAGGAGGTCTCTCTCAGAGATGAACGCACAGTTGACGTTGAATTTAATCTTAGACATTTAGACATTTAGTCCCTCTTGGCAGTATGAGAGATTGTGTCTGCTCCTAATGGCCCAACTGGGCAAATTCTGTCCTTGGCCAGGCACTGGAGGGGTGCCTACTGCACCAATCCTGGCTCTTCTAAACTGCATTTTCCAAAGCTGGGGCAGGCAACAAACAAATGGTGGTGATCATGCTTAACGAATCCCAGTAACACACAAGGGATGTGAAAGTTGCTCTGTGCTTTTCCATGGACCTGGGCATCTGCAGCCTTCCTTTCCTGAGACAGGCTGATGCTCATCCCCGCCTTCTTTGCAGCCTGCACACCCCAAAGCAGGCTGTTCAGAGGATGCCCACACTAATACACCAGAGAGAGGAAGGTGTATGCTGTCATGAATGAGAAGGACTGAGAAACAGGAGAAAGATCTGATGAGTGAACATGAGCATGGATGAGGGGAGAGCCCAAACTGCACTTGAAGAGCTACAGGGAGGAGGTGGAAGCATGTGGCTTAAGTTTCTCTGAGAGACGTATGGGAGAAGACAGAGATACATGCCCCATTTCAAGGATCACAGCATGAAATGCCTGGAGTTGGGAAGAATGTGAAGGGCAAAGGGACTCAAGTAGAGGGAAGATGTTGTTCTTACTTCCTTGGGGGGATTCTCAGAGCCCTACATGCCCTCCCACATAATTATTTGAACTTGCTCAGGCGTTCAGGAGTATTAACTGTAGAGTGGCACACAGCTCACACCATCCCTGGCTCCGAAGACCACACGTGCAGCATGAGAAAAGGCTGTAGTGTCAGACCTCAGCAGCACTGCTGAGCTGCTCCATCCCCCCTCTGTGCTTCCACCAGCACAGGTGCCAGCGAAGCTGCTGTACCATCTCAGCAGGCCACAGATGTCCGTCAGAGAATTGCCGAGTGACCTTGGCACAAGAAGTGACATCAGGGCCTTCCCCACACCAAGCGGGTTTCTGAACCACTGCCATCCATCACTCACTTACTCCGTGCACTTTGGGAGCTGCTGGCACCAGCACACCCACACCATGCCCTGCTTAACACGTCCCCGTACGGCACCAGGCAGAGGAGTGCTGTCACCCCCATTTTACAGGGTGGGACTCTGAGGCAGAGAGAAGTGGTTTTAACAGCACGCCTGTGGCAGAGCAAAAACTGAATCTTGTTCTCTTATGTTCCCAGTTAGCGCATTAATGACCTAAATTCTGCATCCTTTCCCCATCCATCGCCCAGAGGAGCTAGGAGGCATTGGAGGAGAGGGTGTGGTATCACAGGCGAACAGTCAGCATCCAAACCCACAGCACTCTGTGCTGAGCACAGACAAAGCAGGGGCTAAAGTGGGACCAGCACTGCCCTCATGAACCCTGGTAGGGTTGATCCAGGGCAGGAGTCAGCCTGGCACAGCATATGAGCCTGTGGAGAAAGGCAGCTCCACAATGGCACAGCATTTTAAGCAAGCCAAGGCTGGACACTCTAATGGCCAAGTACCCTGCTGAGCCAGGTCAGCAAAGCCTTTGGGACACTGAGCACCAGGAGCAGATTTTCAAAGAGCCTGCATATCCCCTCAGCCTGCCTAAGCAGCTGAACCTCTAACCAGCTATCCCACGCAAGTCCATATAAAAGACAGCCTGCACCAGATGCAGCATCTTCCCCAGGCAGCTCAATTCTTTACATAGGAATTAATCAGCCTCAAATTCAGCAAGAAACAGAGCGGGGGAGAGGGAGAAAAAAGGAAGCAGGGAAAGGATGTCACACAGTGAGGGGGTTTCCAGATGCACTGCGTCTTCCCTCCCTGGCTGATTCCAACTGGGAGTCTCTGGCTGTGTGCCAGGAACATCACCTGGGAGGTGTATGCAGGTTCTGCCTGCTCCCCCAGCATGTACAGGCAGGAGGAACTCAGTGTTCAAGATCTGCTGGGCAAGGAACTGAAATCTGAAGCTGGAGACCTCCCCAGTGCCCTGGAGTGTGCCAGTGTTCACATGCACTGTACAGCAGTGACAGCCGCCAAAGGACCAGGACGAGGAGTTGCTCATCTGTCACAGGCAGATGGCCCCAGGCAGTTAGGGGCAAGCAAGGGAAAAGACCCCCTTCATGCTGTATCTGCCTGCCTCATAGGATTTTAGTGGGCAAGTAGCAGGGTGGAAGTGTGCCAAGGCAATTGACTTGGCTATGAAGCTTCCCTTCCGGAAGAGCCATAGCTGAGAAGTAGACACATTTTGAACAAGGTAACTGGATTGGGGATGGGTGATTAACAACCTTTCATAACCCACAGTTTCAGTGTGGGAATAGTATGTCAGAGCTACACAGAGAGGCTTTGTTCCTACTTTCTTCTCCTATTACTTACCTCTTAATGCACGCACACACTTCTCTCTGCTGACTCCAGTCTCTTCATGCAAGCTCTTCGAATGAGTAGCTAAATGCAATAGGTACCATGCTAGATGGATGCAGAAGAAGCCAGACTTGGGGGTAGCCCTAAAGGAACCCACCTACCTGCCTTCCATTTACTCAGCTATTTACTCAGGACTGCGTCTCAAATGTTAATCCATCAAGGGTTGGCCTCAAGAAGAAACTCAGGGTGAATACTTTGAGCTTGGTCCTTCTTCCATCTGTTCACAAATATCTGAAAGATCATTCAAATTTATCTGGAATAGACCTACCAAGACCTGACATGGTGACTGCAGGTGTAAGCCTGGGTAGGTTTGGTTTGGAAGAGTTCTGTTGCTCTTCCCAGAGGCAACAGCCTCAAGTGTGGTGGCTTCATTTTCCCCCTGCCCTTCACACCCAGCTGGTCCAGAAGCTGGGTTTGGGGTCAGGGTGGCAGGAGGCTTACCCAGGTTGCCACAGCATTTGTCACTTTTCAGACTCGGGCTCCAAATGCTTCTGCTGAGGGATCAATGAGCCCGGGCCACTTTGTTGGTTGGCATCTGATGAGGGGGCCCACAGGGTCACTATGCCTACCCACGCACCTCATGCAGACAGTGTATTTCTCCTTTCTATGTCCATCAGTTCTGTGTTAATGGCCACTCAGTGCAAGTGTCCAGAGGGAAATGGAATGGAGGATAGGAGAAAAAATTTGTGGGAACCCCAGGAGGTATAATGACATTGTCATTCACATGGTCAACCCTGTACAAGAATGGACAACCTGATCATTTGAGATACTAATTAATCAGTGGTCATGGTGAAAAATAAATTATGTGGCTTGAGGAGTACGTCTCTGGAGTATTCCTTATGTCAAGAGGAGATATGAGTGATGAAAGTAAGAGCCTGGTAGACATCCCAGCTAACAAAAGACTTGGAAGATGTCACTGGGCCCCTGCTGGGATGGTCTTGTTGGTCATGGAGTGTGTGAAACAGGGTGCCCCATGACTGAAACTGGCAGAAGGCCCTGTACATACACCAGTCTGATGGAACTGTCTCCAGCCCAGCTTCCCTCACTTATGGTGGAAGATTTTGCTCCCCCAGCACCAGGGTATTTTTCTGTTGAGTGCATACACACAGTTGCTCTGAGCTTCTTGTAGCCTCAGTCTGTGAGAGGACACAAGAGCAAGCCTGACAAAGGTATGCAAAAATGAGCAGTCATATAGAGAAAGTAGATTAAAGGCTTTTTTTTTCACACCTAACTGGAACAAAGGGATATATCCTACCCACTGAATGAGAGGGCAGCAAATTCACAGCCGAGAGAAACAAATACTTCTGCAACCCACACTGAATCATCCTGCCCTGATCCCCTCACTGCTGGGATCCAGTGAGCCATGACTGGGGAAACACTGAGGTCTGATGATGTACCTCAGTTATGCCTGTGATGCTGAGGGAAGGGACCCTGACACCTGTACTTTGCCCAGTACCTGGTTCCCGTTCCCATCCCGCCTCCCTGCGAGGCGGGCAGTGCTCTCCTGCCTGTCTGCAGCAGGAGTCACACAGCTTCTGGTGCTCTCCTCTGCGCAGTGAGGCGTGCTGGGCTAGGTGGGTGTCAGGCTGGATCCTGACAGCAAACCCCACATTCCTGTGCAAATACACGTGCGAGTGTGCAAGGAGAGGCCCCGGGCATTTCCCGGGCATGCACACACAGTGGGCATGCTGCCTTGGAGGAAGGCAGGTGGGCACAAAAGGTGATGCCGAGGGCAGCTGTTCCTGCAAGGCAGGTTTTGGTGTTCTCATTTGTTCTTTTTTTCTCTTGTTCCATAGGGAATTTTAAAGGTCTGTGTAAGCAAATCGATCACTTCCCTGAGGATGCAGATTATGAAGCCGATACAGCAGAATATTTCCTCCGTAAGTCCGCAGGCTCTTTTTACAATGGCTCGTAGGTGCTAGCGTCGGGTGCCTTTTGTTTTCTGAACACAGGGTAGTAGAGACTCTGGGACCTGTGAGGCTCAGTGGAAACCGCAGAGCCTTGTCACCCCCTAAAAACTACTCCACGCTCACCTCCCAGGGGCTCTGCCTATGAGACAGTGCAAATTTGAACTCACAGTAACAACCAATGGCATTATTTTTATTAGCAGCAATTAATTATGATATAGAATCAGAATCTTAATTCAAATCCACTGAAAAGCTGCTGATTGAGTCGAAGGTCAGACTGGCCTAGCTGGGGCAGCATGTGTGTGAGTGTGCGTGTCCTCCTAAAGCAGAGAAAGTTTATATTTCCTTTTCCGATGCTCCAGTAGCACCAGACCTAAGCAATTAGCTGGATTTTGTCTGAGGAGCTCTTATTGCTGTCTTCACCTTCCCCCAAACACTGCTTCCCTACAGAGGCTGCAGATCTGATCTTCGCTGGTTTTAGTGACGGGAGCAGGCAGCAGGAATAAGAACAGCCAGAGCCCACACAGGAAAGACCTGGTGTTCACCCAGAGCCCCTAGGAGAGGTGCTGAACCCTAGGCACCTGTCTGTAATGAAACCCAGCCCAGGCTCCAAGTGCAGCCTGAGATGTGTAAGTGAAGCTCACACTGCTTTGTGCAGCAGCACCCTGGCCAGCAGGACAGATCCACATCATGCGTTGCTCTGCCTGGTTGCCCTCCCCTCCCCAGCCAGCATTTCCACCCACCCCAGAGGCAGGTGCTTACTCTTCCTTTAGCACAGCTGAAGAGGGAACAATCCTTTTAGGTCTCCACCTTGCTATCCTGCCCTCCCTCCACAAGCCCAGTGTCTTTTGACATCATGAGATCTTCTCCCAACAGAAATCTGAGATAAGTGCTTTTGACCTTCCAAGGTTAATCATCAGAGGCTTCCAAAGACCGGGAGTCTTTCAGAATAGCTCCTTGTCATCCGGGTGTGCTCCAAGCCAGATGTGGAAACCCAGCCCTGCGGCAGGGATGAGAGAGATAATTTCAGATCTGTGAAGCTCATTTGTATGTGAAAAGAGGCAGATCTTATGCTGATTCCTCTTGGTTTCTCAAACAGTCCTTCATCCACTGTAAATTGTAAATAACCGAGGGAGATTGCTTCTTTCAGCTGCCTCTCTGCAGCACCGGTCTCTTAATTGCTGCATGGCCCCTAAACAGCAGAGCTGAACATAGAGGTTTGTTCCGGTTTGGCACAGGGATGCCAAAGGTTTGCAGGCTGCCTCCAAGGGCAAATCAGCCTTTGCAGAGCTGCTTAGGAGCAAGGAAGCTGCTTGCAGCATCAATTGCACTTCAGAAAAAATGGTCTGGGGAAGGGGCCAAACATCACAAGAAGGATGGGTTTATTCCCACAGAGAGAATAAGATCTGAGGACAAAAATTGGCTCAATGTCAGGACCTGACAGTGTCCCCAGGGTAGAGCCCTTTTTAAGTAGGAACCAGGTTCAAAGAGGGATTTGGCAAGTCAATAAAGGATGATTTTGGTCATTCCTGAGGGAACTGGTATTTCTGCTGGCTCAGACCTGCATGGAGAAGGACCCCACTGAACAGCTTCTTCCCAGAACTTCTATCAAACCAGAGTCCCTGGGTGCTCTGCATGGGCGATGCCTGGCAGTACCATCAGGACCATCTAGGAAGTTGTTTATCAGTATCAGAGTAGTCCCTCATGCCTCAGGGGACCAGGACAGTGATGAGACAGTGTCCATGGCCTGGCTAGAAGGGTTTAGCCATTATTTCTGCCAGCCATCCACATAAGGTGTCTTAGGATTTTTGAAATCAAAAATCTATTATCAAAGAGGAAGCAGAAGCATCCCTCTGTTTCCTTGCTAGCAGACACAGATGAGTTTAGGGAGCATACACCACCAGCCCCTTTTCTTTAGGCCACAGGCTCTGAAGTTAGGAAGGCTGGATGATATTCTCCTCCTCTCTTGCTGGCATGGTCCTCCTGAAAGGCTGAGGAATGCTGCTGTCCTTCTCCATCACAAGACACCTGCAGCTTCCCATGTCAGTCAGCAACTTTGTGTTCTCCCAACAGATGTGAATTTCTGAATTAAGACACAGATAAAACTGATGTAGTCAGGACCAAGTTGCAGGACTGACCAAGCATCCCCCTAGAAAGCCTCTCAACAGTGGGTGTCTGCTTGACGTTTGCTTCCTGCCATTTAAGCTTCTCATTGTCAAATGCCACCTTGATTTCCAGAAGCTATTAAGATGGTTATTACTGTTATCCTGTTCCTTGAAGCACAGCCAGGCAACCTGGAAAGCAAGCAAGAGAGGTTTCTCCCTGCCTTCTGCATTCCCCCATCACAAGTAGTGCGTAGGCCCCCCTCAAAGAGCTGATTGCTTGTACCTTAAAGGATCCAGAGGCCAACAGGATCTTTGAAGCAGGGTCTCTGCTCACTTAGGAAGAAGTCCTGCATTTGCTTCATTGGGTTCATTCTTGCAGGCAAGGAAGGATTAGCTTTCATCCCCCCTTCCAGATCTTTGCTCCACAAGCAGAATTGCACCAGCCTGTCTGATACCTTTCTTTATCAAGCAAGGCTTCATTTCACACTTTAACAGCTTATTTTCTCTTGTGAAGGGAGGAGAGAAGGCCTTCCTAGTTAAAAAAAAATAGGAATATTTGCAACGCAGACTCAGGCAGAGCGCTGGCTCCCACTGAGCCGCCCACGAGCGGTGTGTGCGTGCGTGCCTGTGTGTGGGTGTGCGTACACACAGACTTGGCCTTTCGCTGCAGCAACACGAGTCAGGCACCCCAGAAGCTTTGGGGTATGTTTTGCATGCACATATGAGTATATACGTGCATCTGTGCATCTATGCCATTGCCCTCTGCTGGCTGAGCTCTTCCCGTATCGACCGATGGAGAGTGTGCGTGTGTGGGAGCTGGCACATCCAAACCATCACTGCCCTCTGGAAGCAGCCCAGTCATTTAATCACTAGGATAAGCCCCGCATTTCGGCACACAGGGCTGGGATTGTTTCTTCTCAGTCCTCACTGCAGCTGCAGAGCAGTGCATGGCACCATGAGCTCCTTCTCAGCCTTAAAAAAAAAAAAAAAATTCTCCTTGAAATGCTCATGTCCTTTTGGGAGGATTCGAGATTGAGCAGCTCTGCAGGAAGCATTTGGGTTGCTGTTCTTTGAAGTGCAGGCTTGAGCAGCAGAGACCCGCAGAAGGAGAAGCTGAATGGTGCCTGGGCTCCCCCTCCAGCCCACAGTCCCCCCAAAAACAGAGGAAAAAACAGTTTGAGGGGGCACAGACAATGCAGGCAGGCTCCCAGCCCAGCCACCAGCCCCACAGCCCCCTCTGCCTCCCTGTGCTGAACCACCAGCTTTGTGGCAGCAGCAGTGGCCAGGGCATGGGAGAGTTGCTTCAGACCACTCTTTTTCTGACACACTTGGTTTCTCTCTCCCTCCCTCCCTCCATCCCCCAATGCCTTTATCTCTCCTTAAATTACTCCCCTACTGCACATCGCCCTCTGTCTCTCCCCTTCACCCACACCCACTAAACGTGCTCGCGTGCCCCCATCCCCTCACTTCGGTGCCATTTCCATGCCCCTTTTTCCTTTCTCTCACACCTGTGTTGTTCTTTCTGCCCTGCCCTCCCTCTCTCTTCTGCAGGGGCTGTTAGAGCCTCTAGTATTTTCCCGATCCTGAGTGTGATTCTGCTTTTCATGGGTGGACTCTGCATTGCAGCCAGCGAGTTCTACAAAACCCGACACAACATCATCCTTAGTGCCGGCATCTTCTTCGTGTCTGCAGGTAAAGGGGTGCGCAGGGCCTGATGCCCCAGGGGTGGGCTCCAGGGGTTGGGGGGACACCCAGCCAGAACATTTGCTGGGGTGCAGTGTAAGCAGGAGTGTGTGCATTTCCCAGCCCTGATAAGTCTCATTCAGGCTGAAAGCAGCATCATAAGGATGCCTCTCCATCCTGCCTGATCGCCCAGCAGAGGCAGGCTGGCAGGGGCTTTCCTCCTGCTTGGGAGGTGACAGAGGGAGAGTTTCTATAACATCTGACAACCCTCAGGGACCAGAAGTGCAGGCCAGGGAAGCGACAGACATATGAGGAGGGTTTTGCCTGAGTTTCCCAAGGAAAGCTGCCCATTCAGGAGGGGATTCAACCCCACAGCCCCCACCACTGCCATGTGTGACCTTCCTGACATCTCCTTCTCTCTCCCCCGCCGGACGGCTTGCAGGTCTGAGTAATATAATTGGCATCATCGTATACATATCAGCCAACGCTGGAGACCCCTCCAAGAGTGACTCCAAGAAAAACAGCTACTCCTACGGCTGGTCATTCTATTTTGGAGCCCTGTCCTTCATTATAGCCGAGATGGTGGGAGTGCTGGCTGTCCACATGTTCATAGACCGGCACAAACAGCTGCGTGCCAACGCTCGTGCCACGGACTACCTCCAGTCCTCCGCCATCACCCGCATCCCCAGCTACCGGTACCGCTATCAGAGACGCAGTCGCTCCAGCTCCCGCTCCACTGAGCCTTCACACTCCAGGGATGCCTCTCCTGTCGGGATCAAAGGGTTCAACACCCTGCCATCAACAGAGATCTCGATGTACACCCTGACCAGGGACCCGCTGAAGGCAACCACCACCCCCACCGCCACCTACAACTCCGACAGGGATAACAGTTTCCTCCAGGTTCACAACTGTATCCAGAAAGAGAACAAGGACTCTATCCACACCAACACAGCCAACCGCCGGACCACCCCGGTATGAAGCCGTCGCCAGGAGCTGAAAATGGGGCAGGAACGGGCAGGAGGAGACGGGGGTGGGCTGCAGGGTGGGGAGGGTGGAAGGAGGCAGGGGGCAGC